GCGTTTCCGGTCACCGTCGCGTCGGACGAGGCGAGGCCCCTGGTCACACGCCGAGGTCCGGTCCGCAGGTCACCCCGCTAGCACGACGGCTGCGCGCCCCCGCTCTCCCGGACCCCGGGCCTCCGCGGAGGAGGGGACACGCGCGGCCGCCTCCCCTCTGCCAGTGTGGCGGGCCCACACCAGTTCACCCATCAAACATCACCATAGTCTCTTGTGCTTTTCTCTCCCTTATTTTGATTTCTCTACCTCTGTCCCTCACAGAATGTCTCTGATTTATAGTTGCCTGTTAATTTTGCTTTAATTAATTTCTTTCCTGAACCCATATTTGGTTTCCTTATATTCCTCCTGTAAGTGAAACCATCCAATATTTTCCTTCTGGCTTATTTCACAACTATCTGAAAATAAATAAGGAGGAACTAGAAAACATAAATGCATCAATCACTAGCAAGAAAAGAGAATAACAAAAATCCTTCCAAAAACCAAAATTCCAGAAACTGATGGCTTCACAAATGATTTCCATCAAATCTTCAAAGATTAGTTAATATCTATCCTTCTCAATCTCTTTCAAAATATTCAGAAACAGGGAATATATTCAGGCAAATTTTATGAGTGCAACATTAATTTATTACCAAAAAGCAAAGATAACACATACAAAAAAAGAAAACTACGGACCAATTGCCTTGGTGAACATAGGTGTAAAAATCCTTAATGAGATCACAGTAAATCAAAATCAGTAATATATTTAAAGGATTCTACAGTATAAACAAGTGGGATCTACACCAGACACAGACTCACTCAGCATAAGAAAAATCAATCAACATTATTCGCTACATCAATAAAAAGGAAAGATAAAAGCCATATAAATAGGTATAAATAGTCTTATATGTAGATGCTGAGAAAGCATCTGATAAGTCAAACATCCAGTCACCACTAAAGTCCTCAAAAAATGATATAAATGGGATCTATCTTCTATTCACAATAGGTAATAGTGGAAACAACCCAAATGCCCAAAATAGACGACTGGATCAAGAAGATGTGGGGTACAGGGCAGCAGTGAGAACAGAGGCCCGCATGCCATTGGCAGCAACCTGGACAGAGCTAGAAGGTGTTTGCTCAGGGGAATAAGCCAGGAAAAAAAAAAGAGAAAAAATGTCAGTTGGATTAACTTAGAGGAGGAATATCGCGGTACCAAATAAGGATCAGGAAACAACAACAATAATGAATAAGCAAAATTAACAGGCAACTATAAATTAAAGACATTCTTCAGGGAACCAGATACTCGGCACAGCAGGCAGGGAGGCAACTGAACCCCCCAACACCCCCCTCCCCGCCCCCCCAATGCTTATACTCTTTCTCAGGGCGTTCTCTGGTGCTCTCATGCCCCACTGCCTCATGGTCTCACCTCTTCTGTAGCCACGAGCCTCCTCTCACGCTGCCACTGCGCAGCTTTTAGCCTCCCGCCTGGGCTCAGGTGTGCACACAGCACAGGCCAGCACGCAGGCCTCAGGTGCGCAGCCAGGCGCCTTCTGCATTAACGTTAACGCAGTCGGGGCTGCAGGTGGTGCCCAGAGACACTTGCTTACAAAAGGCGGATGAACCCACTCACCCCACGGCTGCATTGTCCCCCAAAAGTGTCCACTAAATATGGTTATTGAGCAGCTAAATATGGCCCGTTGGCACTTAGATGTCGCTGTCACTGTGAAAATCATACTAGACCTCAAAGGCTGTCCTGCCTCGGACTGTTGTTTCAGGGAACACCTGCCCACTCTAAGTAGTGTCTGTCTTCCACCGCATTAAGACAAAGCATACAGACCTTTAATGAAAAGGAACTTTAATACAATTAGCATGCAACAGAGAAAAGACAAAGGCTGTCATTTCCAAATCAAGCACCCAGTATTACCCATCCCCTCGTGGAGGACAGTCCAGCCAAGCAGGATGGGCCCCAGGTGACGCTGGGCAGCCCGCCACAGGGGCAGAGCAGCTTCCAGCAGGGTCCCAGGGAGGAGGGTCAGAAAGAGCCAGACAAGCCTGGGAGGAAAAGAGTGAAATCAGATCAAGATAGAAGCCGCCATTGTTAACCTTCCCACGGCCTCTCGCCCACGTCTGTTCTATCCAGTCCAGGACAAGAAGCAAACAGTTTCTTCACACGTCTCTGCTCCATGTGCCTGCTTCAGGTCTCATTTTGCTCTCCATGCTGCTTCCTTCCTTCTCGGGTCTCCACCCCAGCTTCTTTCCCTCTCTGCTCAGCTCCGAGCCCCCCTTGGGTGGGGCAGGGAACCTGGCACCTCCCCTTTTCCCTGGGGACCCCCGTGTTACACGGAGACCTTTGCCACAGAATGGTGTCCTGGCCCTGCTCCCGCACCCCTGGTTCCGGCCTGGCGTTACTGAGCAACGGTGGCTGTCTTATGGCCTGGTTCCCATAGTACCTTGTCAGATGTAGTAGGGAGAAATATTGGGGTGAGGCCAGAGGCATGCAGGTGAAAGAACCGACCAAAGAAAGAGAAGAGAACAGAAGGGGAGACTTATCGAAATACTCTGCAGGGGCTGGGGCTGAGCCAGGACTGGTCTGCATGCAGCAGGAGTCGGGCTTTTTTTTAAAGATTCTATTTCTGGGGGCTTTCTAATGTGGGGTACCAGTTTGCACCAGCTATCTGCTCGAATTTCTGGTCCTCGTGCTGGCCTTTGACACAGAAACATGTCCTGGCTCTTTTCTGCATTCCTGAATCTGGACTCCTGAGGGTGCTTGGGCTAGGAGCGACTTTTGGGGTTTCTGTGCTCTTCCTGCCGCCTGCACCGGCAGCCGAGAGAGCGGGCAGTGGCTGTGGATTCTGTACACAGGAGACTGTTTGGAGTTTGGCCCTGCTGTCCAGTCCCCAGAGAGGAAAGAGGCAGGAAGAGAGACCGAAGCAGATGTGTCAGCACGTGGCCTTGGAACGAGCAGGCGGCACCCTGCGAAGTCCTGGGTGGCCGTCAGTCCCCGAGGACGCCAGGGGGTAGGTGGGTGCAGAGAACTGGAGGACGCAGATCGGATGGCCCCTGTTTCCACCAGCAAGAGGGTCTGGAGACTCCCAGGGAGGGCACACAGGGAAGCCAGTCTTGGCCCCTCAGGAAAGGAGGTCTCCACCGCCCCGTGCGCGTGTGGCCGATGACCACGGCTGCCAGCGGCCACGCTGCCTTCCCATCTAGCCCGTGGTTTGGGGGGCCCCTCCCTCTCCGGGAGGGGGACGGCGCCTCTTCCTATCGCCTGTCAGTGACGCACAGCTTCTGCCTCTTCAGGCACGCGGCTGGGGCGCGGCTGGGGCGTCCGGCTGCTGCGGCGCTTTGAGAGGCTGAAGTCAGGTTTCTAGAGGCACGGGGTCTCGGGTGAGTCGGGGGCCCCGGGGGTGCCGCCATGTGCTGGGCCCTTCTCGTCTCCCTGCCTCTCTCGTCGACGTCCTGGGTGGTCAGCCACTGTGTTCCAAAGCACTGAGGCGGCGCTCTGGAAGGGGCTTCACGCAGCCGAGGAGGGCTGGCTGGGCTGCTTTGAGGTGTTGCCCATAAACTTGGAGGCTCCCCGAAGAGAGGCCCTCCCTGGTGCACAACGCCAGCACTAAAGCTCGTGCAGCCGCTTCAGTGCAAGTTCGATCCCCGCCCGCCCCGGAGGTGACCCCAGGGCCCGGCAGACCTCTCCTGACCCGCCCGCTGCTCCCCTCAGCAGTGGACTTCGTCAGTCTGCCTGTTCTGCTCCCCGCTCTGTCTCTGGTGAATCCTCTCGCCGCCCCTGCGCCTCTGGCCTGTACCCCAGTTCTGTATGCTTAAACAAATAATTCTTAACAAAAAATCAGTGAAATCCTTAAAAAAGAGGGGCGGGGTCCTCCTGGGTGTCAAGTCTGGGCGTAGGACCCAACATGTTGCCAAGCACATGCAGCAGGGTTCGTAGAGGGCCACATGTTGGCTCAGGGCCGTAGAGGACTGGGCACAACACGCCTTGGCCACTTGTCCTGCCCAGGACAAAAGGCGTCCGGCTGGAAGATGCTGCTGCATGCGCTGCCGAGGGAGCCAGGTGTAGACCAGATTTCCCGGTCCTGCCGTTTGTAGCAGCGCCGGGCAGGGTTGCAAAGCTCAGGGTTTCTTCTTTAGTGCCTGTTTTGCTCTGGTTTTGAAGAATACACAGCAAGGGCGAATCTGAGGGCCCAGGGGTTGCCTCACGATCCCCCCACAACCAAAGGAAAGCGCTGCGGTAGCAGCTAGTGGGCGGCCGGGAGCAGCGCCCCCGGAGGGGGGTGGGATCGCCAGCACAGCTTCTGCTGGATGCAGCCTTGGGATGGCAGCGCTTGGCAAGCGGAGGCTCAGGGCTGGGAGCGCATCCAGAGGGAGTGGGCTGCATCGACCGAAAGGGAGAGTGAGGAAAGTGAAGCTGCCTGCCCGCTGCTGTGGGGCTCACCCACGGGGCTCTCTCCGACACTGTGGGTGCCCATGCCTGACGCCCTCTACTGTCGCCCACAAGCTATAGGAGGTTTTGAAGGAAGAGATAACTGTTCCTCACCTGGTTGGGTTGGGACATAGCAATTTTTGGTCTTTGGAAACTCTCAGTAACCCTGGAGTGTGTCCCAGCCTGATACCTCCAGTCACTCCAAGGTTTCTCACAGTCCACCAGAGAAACGAGAAACAGAGCGACAGATAAGGGGTTCCAGTGCCCAATTTCTCCCCAAATGGGCAGCCCGCGTGCAGTGGGGTAAATGTGGGGGTGAGTGAGAATGGAGGCACGGGGGTGAAAGAAATTGCCAGAGACAGAATGGAGAGCAGAGGAGCAGGGAGTGAATGAGGAGAGGTCTGCCTGCAGGGCGAGGTGACGGTCTCCTTCATCCTGCCTTTGCAGGCTTTCTGTCTCGGGGGGCCGGTGTGTACCAGCTATGGGCTGGAGTCTGGCCTCAGGCCTTGACCCGCGACACAGGAACATGTCCTGGCCGGGCTTCTGCATTCCTGGATCGTGGCTGGTGTTTCTGGTCACCGGTTAGTCTTCTGGCCTGTTCCCAAGAGAACCTTACAGATGCCTTCCCTGTCCGGTCCTCCGGACCTGCCTGCTGGGCAGGGACTGTGGGCTTGTTTTTCGACCTTATTAAATGGCACCTGGACGACAGTTGTGTCTTAATTCATTTATTATCTCTATGTCCATCTTGGCTTCAGCCAGTTTTGCCTGGCTTTCTGGTTTTGTTTGCAAGAAAACCACGCAACAGGAACAGGTTAGGGATGAACACGGCAGAAGCCAGAACGTGGTTACCAGGACAATGCAGCCTGTAACGCCGCCCTGCGAGAGTCAGTGAATTCTGCTGTTTGTTATAGCGCCTGGGGGCTGGTTCTGTCCTTCAAGCGCTGCATTTGCCCTGTGGTGTTAAGCTAAGCTTACCCACGGAGGGCTGGGCCTACCTAACACGCACACAAGCCTCCACACTGGCAGATTTGCCGAGGCCACACACCGGTCACCTGCTGTCTCACCGTCAGAAGCTGCGACCGACGGCGAGGCCCTCTTAGCCCTCTCCCTCCGCGCTGTCTCCACTCACAGACGCGTCCTCTCTGCTTTTCTTTTATCTCTGGAGCTTTTAGAATATATCACAGGAGAAAAAGTAAGGAAACTCAAAATTCAAAATCAAAGCTGTCTTGTTAAAGAATACAAAAATTAAGTCCTCAAAGAAGCAAAGAGTTCTCGTAGACTCTGGCAAATTGCATCCTCAGTGGGGCCTAGATTCTGGAAGGGAGCAGTCTCGTAAAAGCGGTGAAACAAAGGCTTTTCAAGCGCTCTGGAATCTTTCAGAGACTGGGATATTACCCTGGCAAAGTCACTAAAGTTGATTTCCCCATTTCCTCAAAGGGCCACCTAAGGACAACTGGCCGTGTGCCCCTAAATCATCATCTAATTTTAAGGACATAAATGGAAAAAATCTAGTCATTATTGCTACACAACGTTTTCACATCATACACACACACACATGATTTTTTTTTTTTAAATAAAAAGGGTTAGGGAGAGAAGTTCAAAATGTTGGTCAACAATAATGCAAAGGCACATTTATTTGCTGGATCTAAATTCTGTCATAGAACATGTAGTAGTGTTTCTTTCTTTTGGCTTTTAAGGATACTAACACCTTGGGTAGCTACTTTGTATTTTCAAAGTA